TAAAGAGAAAAGAAAACCGGGCCCCCAATGTGGTGAGAGATCTGCTGGCAAGGCTGTCTCCAGAGACAAAGCATTGGAGTTCTGTCTTCCTAGGGGCATTTAGGGAAGGACTGGTGGCACACAAGGGCTGGCAGGCCCATTCTCTGATTGGGAACAAACAAAGCCTTCTATTTCAGTCCACAAAGTCTCAATTATTTATTCTAAAAGCTCCCTCAAAGGACTGGGATTTGAATGTGATGATGTGATCCGTCTAAACACAATTTCTTCCCCTAAAATAGTTGTGTTTAGACTCACAATGTTTTGTTTTGTTATATACCAGAGTCCTTTTAAAATCTGCTTTAAAAATCCTATACACATGGGTGCTTTCCCCGTGTGTGTGTCTGTGCACCACACATATGCCTGGTGCCCGACAGGCCAGAAGAGGGCATCATACACTCTGAGTCTGGAGTTACAGATCATTGCGAGCCACCATATGGGAGCTGGGAATCGAACCCTGATCCTCTGGAAGAACAGCCAGTGCTCTTAGGCGCTGAACCACCTTCCCAGCCCAATTTGTCCAATCTTACACAGAGAATAAATAAATACTAGGTTGGGTTGAGAAGCCCTGGATGGATATAGACTGTGCCTCAGTCCCCAAGGCAGTTTATCCTGAACACATGCTGGGTTCTCCTTGTTGATCCCAGGGAACATTCTGGAATTTCCTGTATACATGCAATGTTAGAACGCAATGGCTGCTCAGGCTACGGCCCCTCACAGTACTCCTCTTCTGCTCTAACAGGTTGAGAAAGCACTACCTGGACACAGTCAGGGAAGGACTAATTCTAGATGCTTGGCCACCCGAGAGGTCTAAGGACAAAAGAGAAGAAAATTTCTCATGTGAGAGACCAAGGAGGACTCACCAGAAGGAAGGGTGAACCCTAAATGTAACCAAGAAAATGGCGGACCACTTTTGCCATACGCATCAAGGACCATGCCAAGAGCATTGTGTTCAGTGGCAGTTTTAACCTTACCATAAGTCAGAAAGTCAAAACTAGACTGACCCCTTCCCTGGATGAGGAAACAGAGGCTTAGTGCATTTGGACGATTTACCAGAGCTAAGCAACGGCAGAGCCAGTTAGATTCAAGCTGTCTGACCTGAATCATGTTGGCCATGAAAAGGGGGACAGGAGGGAAAGGGAGGTCACCCATCTTTCTGTCATAAGGAAATACCTGAGATAATCAACTTATAAACAAAACAGGTACATTTTGGTTCACAGTTTTGGAGACTCTAGTCCACGACAGACCAGCTCTGTTGCTTTGGGCCAATGACTGGCCAATGACTGTATGATGGCAGTCCATCATACACAGTGGAGCCAAAAACAGAGGACCTGAATCCCACAACTTCTTTTGGAGCTATGTATCCAAAGACTTTAGGTCCTTGCACAAAGTCTACCTCTTAAAGGCTCTGCCTCCTCCAAGTAGTGCCACCCTTAGAATGAACCATTAACACGTGGGCCTTTGGGTGATAGTCAAGATCCAAATCTAGGATGGTAAGTGATATTTTTCAAAGGGCATCAGTCCATATCCCTTGACCATGATGCTAACACCATCAGATTGTATATGACGCTTGCCTGCTCAGAATACAAAGAAAGGCTGCAGCAAGACTGCTGGGAGCCAGACACCCATGGCAGGGAGTTGGCATGTCTTTGTGTGATGGCATTTGGCAGAAGATCATCAAGAGTTCTCATGGCCCCACAAGTCAGAAGGGATGGTAGGTCAGTGCAGAGTCAGGATAAGGTCCACAGTAGTTTCTGGTTAAGCAAACATTTGGGTTGATGCTGCAGTTAGCTATCTCCAATGGGTCTGCCTGTCTCTACAGTTTATCTCAGGGAAGAGAAACAGATGGAGACCCGGTGGCTGTGCTCTCTGTCCAGAGAACCTGGAAGCTCCACAAGAAGCTCTTGTCAAGACCCACTGTAGGCAAAAGAGGCAGTGGGGTGAGTTCTATTTGTCTCTGACAATCTCTGTGTTCTTCCACTGAACCCAAAGTCCCAGGAGCCTAACGCTAGTGTTGGGCCCTGTGCAGCAGCTCTCTCTCCTACACACCCAAACCTGACACGGAAGACCTCTCAAGGACCTTTCTTAGCTGATCATGAGAAAGAAGCTGCTTTTGCATGCAAAAGCCTTAGCAGTAGGCACGCACTAATGGTGTTTGGTGTTTGTCTTTCTTGGAGATAAGAAGCAATGACTCAAGGCACAGGAATTGGTCCCCAGGGGTGGGGCACCAGTATCAGCTAACAAATTGTCCTCTATGCCAGGTTTAGAAGTATAGGTCAAAGAGCTGCAGCACCAAGAGCTACAGCACAGGGGCCAGCAGTACCATTAGGCTCCTGGGGTTTGAAATGTTCCTTCCCTTCCTGGTGTCTTAGAAGGATGTAGGTTTGGAATACTAGGGACGAGTATTTGGAAGTTGTCAACATCACTTCTTGTGTTAGTTACTTTCCTCACTGCTGTGCAAAGCGTCTGAGAAAAGTGGCTTAAGGAGGGAGGGTTTATCTGGGCTCCCAGTTGAGGGTATGGTCCATTATGAGGCAGCTGGTCACACTGCATCAACAACCAGGAGGCAGAAAGAGACGAATACTGATGCTCCACCAGCATTCTCCTTTGGTCTGGGACCCAGCCCATGCAACAGATCTCCCTGCTTGACTGGTTGGAAATAGAATCTCATAGACCCAGGCTGGCCTCAAACTCCTAATTGCAGTAAAGGATGCCCTTGGATTCCTGCCTCCACCTCTCTGGGGTTGTGCAATCATGGCTGGGTTTATGTGGTGCTGGGAACCAAACCTGAGGGCTTCGTGTATGCTAGCTAGGCAAGAATTCAACCAATTGCGCTACATCCCCAGTCTGGAATGGAGATGACAGTTTGAGACAACCCGATGCACAGACATCTGAGCCTAAGAAGGAAATCCATTAGTTGAGGACTTGTCGATACATAGCCATCCTTAGAAGATACCCCAGGATCCCCACTCCAGACAATGCCCTCATCTTCAGACGCCCAAGTTCATTATGTAAGACTGTAGAGTTATCGTAAAATCTACACATATCTTCTCTTGTGCACCCCAGTTAACCTAATCTGGAGACTCCCTCCCTGACATGCTCAGAAGTTTGTCTCCTAGGTGACAAACCTGCTAAGTTGCCTACCAATACCAACCACTGCATTTGCTGAGAGTTCACCCTGAACCTGAGGACTAAGAGTCTAGACAAAGAAAAGAGCAAGCACGCATCTGAAAAGAGGAAGGGAGACTTGCCAGTGAGAAGAAAGGATGGATGGGGCAGGGGAAGTGAGGGACCCTCAAGACTGTTTGGAGCCATCAGTTACCTGGCATCTCGAGAGCAGGGAGAAATTTCTGGTTTTATATAGGTTAGGCAACTCTATCGCAGTAGAACAAAATGGCAAGTCTGAGGAAGTTTTCCATGCTTCAATCTTCTCAGCAAGAACTTAAGAGCTATGGGCTGGGGAGATGCCCTGGGCAGGTGAAGGTATTTGCCATGCAAATCTGAAAAGTTGAGGTTGATTCCTGGAACCCCCATGTTGGGAGGAGAGAGCCAACTCCTGAAACTTGTCCTCTGACCTCCACCTTCGCACTGCACGCACCCCAATAATCATAAAATAAAATAAAAGATGAATAAATCTAGCAGTCACCCAATAGGTTTTCTCCTATGTTCTAACTTAGACCCTGAACTGAGGGGAAAACGTTGTTTGACTTCCCAAATGCAAACACCGAGGCACGAAGGTCTCTCCAGCATTTACTAGTAAGTCTTCCGTGTTCATATGGCCGCTGTGTCTGAATGTCACCAATGTGCCTGACAGCTTGGCTGGGAAGGGGATACTCACTCCCCACAAAGGCCCAAGTCACTGCCTGCTTCCTGACCTTGCCTTAGAAATGAGGGACAGGACATTTGACCTACAGGGTCTCCCTGTGCTTGGGACAGGGGCTGGTGTAGAGTGACAGTCCAGTACTCTGTTCATGTGTCCCTGGGGTCGTGTGGCAGCCTGGATACTACATGTTTATGACAGAATTACACTTGGTGTCACTTGGGTCTTCATTTGCTCACATTCTCAAAGTAACAACACCATTTTTTAACACATGCTCGTGTGTGTGTGTGTGTGTGTGTGTGTGTGTGTGTGCACGTGTGCGCATATGCACACAGGTATGCTTGCATGCATGTAGAATCTGGAGGACAACTTAGGGTATCATCTTTAGGAACAATGTCCACCTCCTATCTCTCGCTGGCCTAGAGCTACCAGTAAGGCAGTAAACCCCAGGGCTCTCCTGTGTCTGCCTCCCCAGACCTGGGATTACAAGCGTATGCCAGGCTTACACTGAAATCTTCATGCTTGTAAGGCAAGCACTGTACCTGATTGAACTAACCCCTTTGTTCTGTAATGTAGCAATCTGAGCCCCATCTTCCATTTTATTCTAAACTTGGAAATCAAGCATTTAAATAAGGGACTATTCTAAAATAAGAATGAATTGGGACTGTCAGGATTTATGTGATGACTATCACCCTGACAGGACCTAGAATCCTCTGGGAGATGGGCCTCTGAATATATACAGAAGAGAGTACCTTGTGTTAACCGAGGGGAAGACATGCCCCCCGTGGGGGCACCATTCCCTGGCTGGGATCTTGGGTAGAGGGTATGAGTGGAGAAGCCAGTTGGGTAGTATCAGTCATTGCTGTCTGCTTTCCAACTGTGGATGTGATGCGACCTGCTGCTTCAAGGTCCCGCTGCCCTGGCTTCCCCACCGTGATGGACTGTACCCTTAGACCGTGAGCCATAACAAACCTTTTCTCCCTTAAGTGGCTTTGGTCAGAATGTTTGATCCCAAGAACAGGAGAGGAAACTAAGGCAGCACAATGAACTGTGAATGCCCTGGGTACCATACTGTGGTTTTTATCCCTAATCTCAGCCGTGGGAACAATGCAAGAACTCACACGAAACAAGAAGCCCATCTTACCTGCCGAGGCTAGTCTCAACGTGATCGAGATCTCTGTCTGTGGTCTTGACTGAACAGTGGGTCGGGGAGGGCTGGGAGCACTGGGTGTTGACCTTGGCCATCTTCACGCTTGTCGCCCTCACCCCCAAGGTGGCTGCTAGAATGTGAACACAAAGCAGATACATCGTTAGGACATCCACAACGCCAACTTCTGATCGGCAAAGGAGAGCAAATGACAACAACAGTAGAGACACTCTGTGTGGCATCCTCAGGAGGGCTCGGACCCATGTGCCTCTCCCGCCCCTCCACCTCCTGTCTTTTACACATCCCGACAGGCTGAAGAGCTGCTCTGAGTTCAGTGCTAAACGAGTGACTACTGAATATGTGAATGAGTAAATAGCTGGGTGGTTTCTGACACGAAGAAGCCCAAGCACTTGGGATTCTCCAGGGCAATGCACTATCCCTTTGGCTCTACCTTTCCTCATTTCCCAATGTTCGTCTTGTCCTTTGGTACATATTTCAGCGGCTGCCCTGAGTTCTGTTTCATAGCAAAGTGTAGTGGATCATGGCGGTGTGCGCAGGAAAACAACCGGCTAGGCAGGAGGGTCATGATTTTAGGATCAGCCTGGGCTACAACTTTCATTTTAATTTTTATAGTTCTTAAAGTACTCTTCTTTTTAAAAAAAGATTTATTTTTATTTTGTATGTATGAATGTTTTGTCTGCATGTATGTCTGCACATCATGTGTATGCTCAGTGTCCATGGATGTCAGAAGATAGCATCAGGTCCCCAGGAACTGGAGTTACAACTTTGAGCCACTATTTGGATGCTGTGAACCAAACCTGGGTCCCTTGTAAGAGCAGCAAGCTCTCTTGATCACTTAGCTATCTCTCCAGCCTCAATATACCTTTTAAAGCTGGATGTTCAACTCAGTGGTCGACTGTGTTAGCTTAGAGTAAGTAACAAAATTGGAGGTGTAAGTAACTGTGTTAGCTTAGTGTAAGTAGCAAAACTAAACAAAATTTAGTTTCAAAATAAATAAAATGCCTTAGTCATTGTCGGAGGAACATAGGTCCAATTACAGCCGAGCAGCAGACACTGGGAGCCTGCTGATCTAGCTTCCCCACCCCGACTCTGTCAGAAGCTGAGACTAGAACATCACTAAGAGTCAAGCTTTGTTGACAATCTGCAGACATAACAATCATGTACCTTGTCAGCTCTAAAGGAAATGGGCTATAAAACAGAGATAAAACCACATATGGTTTTTGTTGAGAAAAAAATGATGAATATAATCAGTGGAGGGAAAGAAAAGACACAGATGGTGCTAAAGAGTGCTTGCTCCTGATTGCTCAGCCAGTGAGAAAAGGGAGGGTAGGGCCCCGAGTCAGAGCTATGAGAAACGATTCTCTCTGTGCTCAATCAGTAATGTCTGGTTTGGCGAGGTTGCAAAACAAACTGCTTCACTGTTGCCACTCTGAGCCTCTTATGATGAAACCATGGTTCTCACAGCCAGCAGATGTGGAGTCCTGAATTTGAACACTAGCACTGAGAAAACTGATTCTGGGCTTAGCATGTGAATCTTCGTAAGACCCTTACAAAAGGTGATGCCGGGGCACGGTGTGGTGGTACAAACCCGTCCCCTCAGCGCTCAGGAAACAGAGGCAGAGCTCAGACTGCTGGGAGTTCAAGGTCAGCCTGATTTATGTGGTAAATTCCAGGCCAGCCAACGCTACACAGTGAGATTTAAAAAAAAAAAAAAGTGATGTCAAATGCAAGACACACTTCATTTAACAATCACAGTGAACTTTCTGTAACCTTTATCCCTGCTGATAGATGGACAAACTGACTCAGAGAGGTGAAGAAGCATGTCCAGTCAAAATAGTAGATAAAGCCTACACTACAGCCTGTTCACAAGTCACAAGTGGCGCGCGCATACTTTCTTGCGACTGACAGCGGAGGGTGTCCCTACCATCGGGGAGACAAGGAAGCTGATAGGAGGGCACAGCTGCCATGAGGCCATGTTTATAACTACTGGAAAAGTCATCCAGCTTCCAGACAGTCCCCTGAGGTTGGGGTCACTAAGACAGGCCAGCACAGGCTCTCTGGGGGAGCCCCATAGCCCAAGCATATCCAATGTCAGTGGAGGTCACTTCAGGGAAAGATGGTGATTTCTAGAAATAGCCCAGTGACTCATGGGACTAAATGAATTCTATTTCCAAAGAAAGGTTCATTCCAATTGCCCAAGACACTGTGCAAAGCAGCTGTGGCCCTACAGCCAAGGTCAGAACATTCAACTACCTAGGGCAGCCCTGGCTCAGCTGGGCCTGACTGATCTCTGGCGTTCATACTTTCAACCTGCAATTTTAAATTTCGTAATTTCTAAAGAAAGGTAAGACAAAGCCTATTGTTTTAGCTAGCTTTCTTCTCTCTCTCTCTCTCTCTCTCTCTCTCTCTCTCTCTCTCTCTCTCTTTCTCTCTCTCTCTCTCTTCTGTGATAAAAGACCATGACTAAAAGAAACTTGGTTTATTTCACCCCCAGCTTGTAGTCAAGGCAGGAACTCAAGTCAGGATTCTGGAGTCAGGAGCTGATGTAGAGACCATGAAGGAGCGGTGCTTACTGGCTTGCGCTTCCTGACTTGCTCGGTTTGTTTTCTTATACATTCCAGGACCACCTACCGAGGGGTAGCACCACCCATATCAATCATCAATCACAGGCTTGACCACAGGCCAGTCTGATGGAGGCATTTTCTCAGCTAAGAGTCCTCTTCCCAGATAGCTCTAGCTTGTGTCAGGTTGACAAAATCTTATCAAGACAGATTTTTCAAGAACCTGCGATTTAGAGAGGCAGCTGGTACAACAGGGCTTCACAGGTGGTACCAAGGAACTTGGGCTTAACTCTGAAGTCCTGTGAGGATGTGACAGAGGTATAAAGGTCACTCTGGCTGCACCAGGGCAGAATGTATTCATAGGGACCCGAGGCGGAGTGAGGAGAGCAGCTAAAATCTGCTTCAAGATCTCAGGAGGAGAGAGAACAGTAGACTGAGCTAAACAACCACCTGGCCTCAATAATGAATTGGCTAAAAACCGGGGAATGGGTAGAATCGCCAGGACGCAGCGTCAGTGAGGAGAAGGACTAGAGGGGAGGGAGGGAGCGAGGATGACGTCATGACAGCAGGCTTCCGGAGCAGGGCTGTGAACACAAGTGGGGAGCAGGGAGCGAGGAGCGAGGGGGAGGAAACAGGCTTAAGACGAGAATGATTCCAACTGGAGATACCTGGTGTAGCCGGCACTTTTCTGGTGCTGTTGTAAGACACGTGGCCAGGGCAACAACATATAGAATAAAGAGTTTATTTGGGCTTAGGGTTCCAGAGGGGTAAGAGGCCATCACGGCTAGGAAGCAGGGCAGCGAGTGGCAGGCGTGGCAGCAGGAACAGGAAGCTGAGAGCTTACATCTGCGAATGCAAAGCTCAAAGCAGAGAGCAAGCTGGAAATAGTTCAATGCTCTTCATCTCAAAGCCTCAGTGATTTCCTCTAGTAAGGCTGCACCACCTAATCTTTCCCAGACATCACCACCAGCTGGGGACCAAGTGTTCAAAGGACTGGCTTTGGGAGACATTTCTCGTTCAGACTACCGCACCTGAGGAAACATCACGGCCAACGTATGAGGTTGGTTGCAAACAATAAACTCACTTTAAGTTGTCCCTTCTACGTGTTTAACTGAGCACCTACGATGGTGTCAGAGGACACTCCAGCAGCTGGGATTTATCAGAGAATAATAAATGATAAACTCCAGATGTTCTCTGTTCTCTGTGGAAGGAGTTTACAGCCCCATGGGGGGCCATACCAAGCTTTAAATCAGATTGGGGGGATTCAATAGAAAAGCAGCCAAGTGACTCTCCTTTGTCTATTTGGTGCCAGCAAATGGCTCCAAATAAAGGACACTGTCTCAAGCCTGTGCTCCTCTCCTCTGCCCCTCAGCTGTGCCCTCCATTCTAGGCATAAACCCTGTTCAGTACCCCTGAGGAGGTCGCACTTTGTCTTCTCGCAGGCCTGCTTTCTGCCATGAAGGTGTGGGTAGATGCTATGGACACTTTCTTACTGGAGTTTCCAAACAGTTTCCCCTTCCTGTTTTACAAACAAAGAAACCCAGCACTGAGCAGATTAGCTGCTTATGCCAGGCTGCCCAGGATCTGCTGCAGAGCCAACTGACTCCAGAACCCCACAGTGTAAAGTTTACAGCAGCAAAGAATAGTGCAGTTCTTAGGTCTGAGCAGCATGGACCCCTGCTCTATGCCACAGCTGTCCCTCCTCTGACCACACTTCACCCCAGATGTCAAGGGGACATACCCACCTAGAACTCTGATCCAGAC